TTTACTCAGAGAGCCTGCTCGCAAATGAAGAGCAAGCACGCGCTTTGTGGGCGTGGAGGGTGTCCGCCCTTTCAGAGGTCGCCATGCTATCAAACTCATGTAAGTGTCTTGCGCGAAAACCGAACAATGCGATCTTTTTGCATACGATATTTACAGTTTTTTTTTAGATGTTAATATCACTGCGCTATGATAACCACATACATATGACTTTGTAATAACAAATAAAATTAAAATGTAGGTAGGCTACATATTATCCATACTTTAAAACTAGTAGAAAACGAACAAGTGGAGCCCTTATCTATAATTCATTATAATTGCACAGCCATCTGGTCTTTTGTCCCCATGGCTCGTGCCGTTCTCGTGCCCAGCGCGAGCGGTGACTCTGATGGTCTATTGCACTTTACGCCTAGTCTTTTCTTCAGATACTACATCAGGACATTTCTAGAACGTACTATATATTGAAATAATCAAGAAAACACGTTTAAAATATCTAGCCTACGGCCCATCAAACTGAATCTGTGCTGACGCATTTCTGCCTCAAGGTTAAGATGGGGAAGCTTTTTAACTTATGTTACGTCACATAAACTATCGGCGAATCATTTCATGAGGAAAACAAGTCTTTGTGAGAAACATAGCATCACCAGATGCGCATTCATTTGGCTTGGCTTCTAGCTTGGGTATTTGAATTAAGATTGGATGTTGCTAATGCTAGGTATGTTGTTGATGGGTTTTGAAATTCACCTATGGGTGTAGCTTAAGTTATTGTTTGGTTGATGGACGCGTATGTCCATCTTTCAGCCTTTGTCTGGGTTTTGATATTTGCAACATGCATTTCGATTAGATTGTTGTTATTTTTATTTTATTTTTTCATTTTCGGGTCTGTGGCTATAGCACGAGTCACGACTGCATGATTTTGCAAGGTAATTAAAAAAGGAACCAGTATTATTTAGTGTATTTGATGTGGCTTTTTCAGAAACATAACACTGATATAAAAAATAACATTGGTCTCTGCTTCAACCTTTGTCTGTTAGCTATATCCATATGACTGATATTAAGCAGCTATGCAATTAAATTAAAATGTAATTAATTAAAATTGGTCTCTGCTTCAACCTGTGTCATAGAGAGAAACTAAACCTTGCTTTTTATTCTTGCTTCAATTAAACTTCTTAATTGAAAGAGCTATTTTAATAATTTTACCAATATTCAGTGACTGATAGGACTATTAAACTCAGCTGAATTAAATTTGCTCTTTGCTTCAACCTTTGTCTATAGAGAAACTAAATCTTGCTCGCTATTCTTGACCCAATAAAACTTATTAATTCAAAGAGTTATATAAATAATTGTATTATTATTTAATGACTTATGGTTAGTATTGGCATATTAAACTCAGCTATGTAATTAAAGCAACTACAGAAAAAGCACAGACAAACATAAACTGAATCTTCAGTATCGGCGTGATGCTGTGAGAGACGCGCCGCTTTGCGAAACCCCGCATGTCCGCTTATCCATTCCACACACGTAAGGTTTTAGGTTCTGAACAACACATACCTAGGGTATAGTATGCAATATTACACGTCAACAGCTGTTTGCAAGCAGCGTTGGTTTTGGCTTGGGAAGCATACTTTATTTGGGCTTTCTGTTATGTCTGTCTACTGCGATGGCTTGTTTTTGAAGTGAAATAAACAACTCGATTTATTCGAATCACATAGGCTACATAATACATGGCGTTGTTAATTCTTCAGATTTCCTCTGTATAAACAATTCATGTCTTTTATTAAATCTATATTTTACCTCATTATAAACATTACATTTTGTAGCATTTGAATATAAATGTATATCTAAATTTTTGGATGACAAATTACGCTTCGGGTGTTTCTTTCTTTCTTTCTTTCTTTCTTTCTTTCTTTCTTAATTTTAATGTTTTAACATTGTGTTGCTTTGGAAAAACTAAAAAGCACACAACGGATTTAGACCTATTACAGATTAATACGAATATTAGACATAAATTAAACATATTTAAAACCTAATTCAAAGATATTCATTCACTCTCAGAAATAAATGTGCAAAATCACTGAAGCGGTACCTCTTAAAAGGGTAGGTTTTTGTTCCTAACAGGTCCTTAAAGGCTCATATTAAGACCTAAAATACAATGATGTACCTCATAGTACCTTAAGGGTACAAAAGTGAACCTTAAAGGTACAAAAGTGTGCCTTAAAGGTCCTAATGTGCAGCTGTATGGTACAAACGAAAACGTATTGCCAATGACAGATTTTGTACCTTTATTGTGTTCTCTATGTCATAGTATTGAATTTGGATTGAGATACATTTTGGATTGAGTCGAGTAAATAATCTTAAGGATTGTTAGGATAGGACAGTATTTGGCTGAGATACATACAACTTGTGCAGAATATAAGGTCTTAGAAATACATCAAAGTATGTTTCCATATATTTATGTGAGGTAAATTTACAAAACATCTTCATGTTCTTTACTTAATAGTTTAAAGATTTTTGGCTTAAAATAAAGATGGATAATTTTGACTCATGTATTTTTGGCTATTGCCACAAATCTGTGCAACCTAGGAGTTTTGTTGTCCAGCGTCATATTATATACATATGATCTTGAAAATACCATTATCTGTCTATATTTTTCAGTGCAACACATATTGGTTTATAAACTACTTTTAGAAATGTACTTTCTGGGTTGTAAACTATTCATTAGAATTGTTTAGTATACTGTACATCAAAAACTATTTGAATCAGAGTAGATTATATGGAACTGCAAACCAATGAGTAATGAAAATAAACATCCTGCAACAAATTAAACATAAATAAAATTGCATTTTTATATGAATGTCACACATTTAAATATTCTGCTAATTGTTTGCGACTGACAACAAACTCGATCTGTTGCTCTCAATGTGATGCAGAGAGAGAGAACCGCCAATCCCGCCCATTCCACTAATATTAGTTACGCATTTAAAATCATGTAAAGTGTAATTCACAAATCGGAACTACCTACGGAGCCTAAATCAGAGAACCAAGGAGAAATAAATCACACCTCATGATCAAAATCTGGCAAAGCGTAACTCTGATCTACTGCAACATATTGTCATCATTTACTCACCCTTTACTTGTTTCAAACCTTTTATGCGTTTCTTTATTCTGCCATATACAAAATGATATATTTTGAAAAATGTTGGAAACCTGCAACCATTGACTTCCATAATATTTGTTTTTCCTATATAAGTTACGGGCTTTCTGCTTTTTTCATCTCTCCTAAGTGTTCCACAGAAGAAAGAAACTCATATAGGATTAGAACCATTTGAGGAGTTAATAGTGAGTACATTTTATTTATTTATTTATTTATTTTTTGTGAACTAACCCTTTAATATTCACTTTCAAAAAAAAGCATTAACAGAAAGTAATGTTGACTTGCATTTGAGTCTCACAATAAAGAGAACATCAAACAAACTGAGAAGCACTTAAGTTGGGTTTTTTTTACCATACGGAGGAGGCAATATTGGAGTGTTTTTATTCAATTTATTCAACTTGCACAGATGGGTACCCACGCTAGCTTAAAGACAGCTCAAACTCATTCAATGTGTTTTTATACATCGTCTCTCAGACATGACAAACACAAGTCAGATACACTGGAGGTTAATTGATGCGCTCTCGGAGCCTGTGACGCGTGCCTATAGCGCTGATGGAAAGACAAAAGGGCTTTAGTGCAACATCAATAGTTTGTGCTCTAATAATTTGCATTATTAAATTTAGATATATTATTATTTAAATTAATACACCTCCAGTCACCTAACCCCAATATGTTTAAGTCATACACCTGCTGCATACATTATACCAGATGCAGGCAAAAAAGATACCATGCACTTCGTACATGATTGTTCGTTTAATCTTCTATATGTGTCACCATATTCCCTGCGTTCCTCGAACCCAACCCAACCCCCAACAAAAAAGAAAAAAATCTCTTTGTGTAATTCAGTGAAGCTTTATTGCCATATTCGGTCATGCCTCAGACACAGACGCCAATAGTTTGGAAAGACAAGCCAAAAACGCAGCAACGTGATAGGGTGGTAATATAGCAAGCAGGTGACAGAAGAGTTCTGCAGTCCCGGACTCTAGGGGGTTGGGGTTCAAATTAGTGGCGCGCTTTAGTGTGATTGGAGGACCAGACATCCATCTGTTACTAACGGCGCGTGCCAGGCGCGTGAGATCACGACTGATTTAAAATTGAATTAATTGACTGATTAAAACAGAAGTTAGTCCTTCAATATAACCCCCAATAGCTTTTAAAATGTATTGTCACTTGAAGATGCAACAGCGGGCAATAGTCTGCATGTTAAAAAGAAGACAAACAATATTTTAATTATGTTACATGAATGAAACATAATTTCTAAACACAAACTTTATTTTCTCGTTTATTTCTAAACCCAAACGTATTATTTTGTTACATTATTGGGGGTATTTAAAAATGTTGTATTGCAAACTTTAGTCTTCAGTTGACAATGTTATTTACAGTAAAATTTGCTATATAGCCAATGTTTTGTTGCGTAATAGAATAATAAGAACTTATAGGCTACCCAACGTGGTTCATGTTAACAGTTGTCAACAACATAGCGTGGCTTGGTTAATTATTGCGAGCACCATGCTCTGTATTATTTATCATTTGCCCAATAAATGTCGGTTTTAAATGTAAAACAACACATCTTAAAGCACAAACTGTAATAGAACACTGCAGCAAATGTATATAAACAATGACAAGTAGCCTATACAAAATTAACCTAAATGTCATTAATGTAAATGTCTTTTTTTAGACAAAAAGCATTATACCTTAATGCGAAATAGGCCTAGTTTTCTTTAACCACTTTAATTTCCACGTGATATAGGACTAGTGAATTATTTAAAAATCATAAATAGTTTATAAGCATGCAAACATGCTGAGGTAGCCTAAATGTAAGCTATCAATGAATATTGTTAGTATCAGTCACACGCGCATACCAGTGGTTTGGTTGAAGCGATCATCAATCAACAGATGGCAACTTATGGGACAGCCAGATCAAATCTTTTCTCCTCGGCGTCAAACTAAACGCGACACAATAGATCGGAGACCCTCCCTCCACGCCAAAGGGGACTATAAAAGACCTCTCTCTTCCATCCTGACCACAAAACTCTCAAACTCCTCTCTCAAGAGCACAACTAGAGAAATCAACCGATTAAATCATGACTCCAAACATTATTACCGAAGCTCATCCCCACTCATTCGGCTCTCGAATGACTGTAGCTCAGAGAAAAGAGGCACATGAACTGAGAAAGGTGAGGGCGATTTTCAGTTCTTTTAATGAACACACCTGAATCATTTAATGGTTCTTATAAAATCCTAAAACACACACTCATACTGACCCACTTCTTTCTTCCTCTTTTTCCCCAGACTCTCAAGCCATTGATGGAAAAGAGAAGGCGGGCTCGCATTAACGACAGCCTCAATCACCTAAAAACTCTTATTCTCCCACTGGTCGGCAAAGATGTAAGTATCTTAACTTTGTTTCTTTGGCAATACATACAATACTAATAAATCCAAGTTTATGTCAGTGTCTGAACAATATGCTAATCTTTGAAATCACTTTAATTCGTAGGCTTCACGTTATTCAAAGCTCGAGAAAGCCGACATTCTTGAAATGACCGTCCGGTTCCTGAGAGATCTTCCTTCCTCATCAGCTAAAGGTGAGTTAGCTATCAAATTTGCCCTTTTCCACATTTTTATCGTTTGTTTATGGTCTGCATTTTTTCAAAACGAATACTTTATTAATTGTCTCCCTTTTTCTCCTTAAAGGTCAAACAGACAGCTATAAAGAGGGCTATAAAGCCTGCTTGCAGCGCATATCTACGATGCTCCCGCAGTCAAACCTGGAAACAGAAGCCCATCAGCGCGTCAGCGAGTTCATCCACACTGTTAGACATTTCAAAGGGTTTTTACAGTAACTTACTGGCAACACTGTTGCCAGTAAGTTACTGTATTTTAGATTTACAGTATACAACTGTAAATCCGTTTACAGCATGTTACTGTAGTGTCTGAAAATGGTTAACTACTGTAAAAACCTAAGTTAACAGTTAGCTACTGTAAACCTTTTAATTTTGTCCTAAATATTTTATAATATAATTTTATTAATATTATTTTAATACTATAGACCTAAAAAAGACACAATTACAAAATATTAACAAAATAAACACTCTTTATTTAAAACATTGGAGATGCTTAAAACAAGCTTAAAAATGTGTAAAAACATTACATTTCAATCATTCAAAATATTTTATTTTAAGAAAAAAAAACATTGAAAATGACAAAGCACATTAACATACATGTACAAAACTAATTTAAGTGTCTGACCTGCATATTGTTGAGAAAAAAAAACCCAATTGTACTAAGTACTACTGACATTAAACCAGACACAATTACAAAATATTCCATTCTTTAAAACATTAATAATGCTTAAAGCATTTAAGGAAAATGTGTGAAAATTACATTAAGCAATAAAATCAACACATTAAAAATAAATAAATCACACAAAGCACTAGAACATACATGTACAATAAAAATTTAAACTTCTGAATTGCATATTGTTGGAAAAATAAATATTTGTAACTATTAGCCGACTCAGAAACAACCCAACTTTAAAATATTACTAGTTCTGGTGTCAAATGCTCAACAAGGTCTGAATTCACATGTTCAAATGCAATTCATCTTTATTTCTATTGCACTTTTACAATGTAGATCAATGATGTCAAAGCAGCTTAACATAGAAGTTCTTGTAAATTGAAGCTGCTTCAGTCCAGTTTTCAGAATTGAAGCAGTAAATGTCACTGCTGAAAGTCCAAACACTGAAGAGCAAATCCACCGATCCACCAATCGTAGCCAAGTGATCCAGTGGCGACAGTGGCATGGAACAAACTTCACCAACTGACGAAAGTGTAGAATAAAATCCCTTGAGAGATACCAGGCTCAGTTAGGCACGACCAGTTCTCCTCTAGCCAAACTTGTGCAAGGCCGCAGTCTAGGCACCAGAGGCTTGAAAGTTCACCAGCGGGTGGTCAGGCTGGCCCATTGGATCAATGCGGAAACTCATTGATCACGTGTGTCTTTTAGGATTCACTCCTCCATGACCACCACAGCATCTGGTCAGGATTTGGCCCAGTCCAGGATTATGAAGAACTCTGGATAAGGAGAAACAGACTAACATAAGCATAGAAGAAGCTTGTTTAAAAAAAATAAATCATATACTGGGTAATTATTTTGAAGCATGGCAGCTAGGTTGGGCTAGTTTTCAGCTGGTACTGAGCAACTGGCTCCTGCTCATAACCTGCTCACTACCATGTTTAAAAGAGAACTAACCAGAATGTCCTGTTTATTTTTTTTCCCTAACAAGGTTTTACAAAAACATTGTAGCATTTGTGATGGGTTGATTCACTGCAGGACAGATTAGACTATTTGTTTTATGTATTCCTAATAAACTAAAACTGACTGAATACTGATAAAACTATTGAGAGTGTCTCACCTAATCCAAGTTCTCAGTTAGCTGGTGAAAGAAGGATAACTCACTGTTGTTCATGGTTGTCATTCTCTTTACTACTTCTCCTGCTATCTTCTGGCTCACTCTGGTTGTTGCTGTGCATTTTGTTTCATCCTCTGGAATTATTTATATAAAAAATTGTATTATTTTATTTATTACAAAATATTTAGGCAACATGAAATGGGGAAAAAGACATTTAATACATAGACAAATGCATGTATCCCAATACTAATTATTGTATTTTGAAATGTCTGACCCATGACAGACCTCAATCTGCTCAAAAATATTATAAACAAAGATGAAAAAAAAAACCTACTAAATGGTTTAATAAAAAAGGGAAAACGATTGTTTTATTTAGCTAGCAACTAAACATGTGACACATTTTGTATTAAAAGTAACGTTAATATATTGAGAAACAAATAGATGTACAGTACTTACTGTTGTATGAGGTCCAGTTTGCACAGGCAGGCTCCCAGTATTCTATATTGAGACCATAAAAAAGCCAAATATACAGATAAGAATACCATGCTACAATCCACAACCTCCACACAACTTTTTTTTATTTGTTTACCTTGGTTGCTTACTGGTCTTGCTTATTTTTTAAGCATAAGGCTGTGCTGATCAAGATGTTCCTCTGAAATGCTGTTTGTTTCTTCAGACAAAACCTGCTGCTGTGCCAGTGCCATATCTAAACAGAAAAAAATATAATGGTAACAATTATGTTAAACCAAATGTCAAGAGTTGTGATAAAAAAATAATTAGCAAACAATAAATAGCAAAAAGGTGGTTATTAGCATAATGCATAGAGGTAAAATTGGTTTTATATTAGCAGATTCAGACTTCCCCCTTAATAATTTAATTTCATAAAAGTATTATTTGCAAACTCTAAATAGCGAAATCATTTTAGCAGCTAATGACTATCAAAGTACAACATGCTCACGGTCAAATAAACAGTGTTAATGTTGATTTCAAGTCATACTGGCATGCTAATTCTGATCGAATATTCAAAGTAACATGGTAAACAGTATAGAGTCTTCTAAATGAACGAATGTGCGAATATAAAACCAACTTTACCTCTATGCATATTGTAACGTTATAGATTTACGTTAGCGTTCTTATAGGTTACGTCGCGATGTTATTTTCTCAAGCTAACGTTATAAGTTACTCTAAACCAGAGAAAAATAAGTTCACAACATCTAATATAGATAGTATAAATCAATATAAGTTAAACGTTGCACGTTAAAATGAGTTTGAGTCCAATTCAGTATAAACTTAGCTCAGTTTAGCTAACAGTTAACATTACCATTTTAAGATCGCTTCAGCCAATGTTGCCGAGCAAACAAATGCTAATAGATGTGCTCAAATCAATGTCGAGTGTTGTCAGCACAGACAGACGCGCTTTTACCTGGATTATTTGTTGGTCTTTCATTCATATTCTTCTGGGGGAAAACACTCTCTGCCGGACCGTTGTCTCGTGCTAAGTGTCCTCCAAAACTGTCTGCATACCTCTGGTTCCCTCCTAAACCAAAACCCGCTGCAACACCGGTTCCTATGTAAATAAATAAAAAGATATGACGAGAACAATGGCTAATAGTCATAAACAGTCTTATTTAAAGTAATAGTAGTGTTAATGTAATAAATTAAATAAAGGTAACATCTTAATAGATGATATATTTCTCAAATGGGCGAAATAACGCCAAGCCAGAGAAAATAATAATAGCCAACTTTATACTTTACTTTGTTCTATTCTCGTCCACAAAACATTCTGTAAAATGAAACACTGCCTCAGCTTACCAGAGTAAAGTTTGTTAAATCCAGTATGTTCTTCAGGCACACTAATAAATTGTCCTCCAGAATTGCTCCAGGGTCCTCAGGCAAAATGTGGTGCAGAGTAGTCGAATCGCCGCAAGGTGGCGTTGAAGCAGTTGTGGAAAATACAGTATAATACACGAATTTTTACAAATACAGTACATCGCTGTATATGTTGTTCGACGTCACACTAAATTCCCATAATGCAACGGTAAATACAGTTATTTACCGTAAAAGGAATTTGCAGTATTACACTGGGTGAAATACAGTAAATAACTGTGTAATTTACAGAAATGTCTAACAGTGCAGCAGTCGATGGCGTCTTCTTCATCGTCCTGCCAGAACTGCTGTGCTCAGAACTCAAAAATGATTTCACAAATGCACCAGAGACTCGTGAGCTTGAGGAACAACAACTCAATGGAGAACCCCATTAGCACCGTGCCAGCTCCAAGCCAACCTCAGCCTGCTCCACAGGCAGCTGAGGACATGTGGAGACCGTGGTGACCAAGTGCGCAACAAGTCTTCAGGGAAATTGCTTTAATTAAATGTATAATATTTATTTGTCGTTGTAAAATGTAACGCCTGTGATTGAGATTACATGTAAAGTTTTTTTTAAGTATTTATTGCCTAATTTGTGGCTACTTTGTAAACGAAGAAAGTGAGCACAGATCATGGAAACTGTATTCTGAGTATAACGTGATGCAATCCTCGTTGGGGTTTAAACATTATGCGTTGTAAACAACACAATTGTAAACCCCAAGGGTTAAAATGTATTTCTGAGGTTTGCACAATTGACTTTATTTCATTTTGGTCTGTGCAAAGTTGTCGTAAACACTGTGTGTTAATTATTAATGGCAAAATGGATGTCCCTGAAGAAAACATGAAAATGTGTTTGTGAACCAATAAGAGATGAATAAAATAATTATGCTTCGAATTTCACTGAATCTTGGTTGTTTATTTTTTAGTAAATCGTTTTCAAATTTTATCATTGCAGAAATAAAACCTGAAAAGATGGATACGAAAAGAAAGAATATGTAATTCTTAAATTACCAAACAATATTTGCAGTTTGAAACGAGTTCTTTATTAAGAAGGCACTTAGAGGAAATAAGTTATTCACTTAGAGGAAATAAAAATAAACAGGCGACATTATAAACCGTTTTAGAATTAGCATTGTAGTTAGAATATCGTGCTTTTTTACCTCTTTATTGTTCTATAGGGTCTTCTAGTGGCGCGGACTACCTTTATGTTTGAGCGGGAAATTATGATTCGAATTGTCCTCGATTTCATGATGCTACGCAACAGTTAACGACTGACAGATTTACAGCAATGTTTCTGGTGCAATAAAGTATTTAGCAAAACAAACAAACAAAACAAAAAACAAACAAATAAGTCTGATGTACCCTAAATAAAATGATTATGGTGCAGCCACAGTCAAAGCCATATTTATCCTCACTTAACACTGTTCATCGATTTTTCGTTACACAATGCTTCATCTGTTTAAGCTGCATCATGTGCATAACAGTTTCAATTTTAAAAATGCGTATTCACTATAGTTGCCTTACTTACTTTTAATTTTATTTGATGAAGACATATCCACAAAATTTTTAATTCATTCATTTATTTTCCTTCGGCAACATGTTTTACGCATGCAGCGGATGCCCTTCCAGCCACAACCCAGTACTGGGAAACACCCATACACTCTCACATTCACACTCATGCACTACGGACAATTTTACTTCATCTAATTCACCTATGCATGTTTTTGGACAGTGGGGGAAAGCGGAGCACGCGGAGGAAACCCACGCCAGCACGGGGAGATTGTGTTGGAACATGCAAACTCCATACACAAATGCCAACTGACTCGAACCAGTGCTAACCACTGAGTCCCCATGCCGAAATACTTTTTGTTATAAAACCCAAACAATAACAGTGGTCCTATATTAGTAACTGTGATTAAAGTGTTGCGAGCGAAAGGCGGTCTAGCCTAATTTGTTTTTTTAAATGGTTAATAATACATATTATTCTTGTTGATAAGACACTCCACCGCCATGACATACATGCTAAAATCTAAATTAAATCATAGCAATTCTAAATTAAAGTGGCCTTTCCCCCCAAACTATTCATATTATGTCTTTATACCTATACACACCGCTATTATTACAGACATGTATTTTGTTTGTTTTGTAAGTGAGCACATAAAAATAATCAAGTCGGTAGGGAAACTAAATCTCACATTATTTTCACATATTCATTGGCAGTGTCACATTGCTTCGGGGACATCATTTGCTTTCATTTGTTCTTTTTAAAAATGCACATGCAAAAGAGCTTTGTATTTGTGTTTGTATGTTGAAGATGAAGGAATAACTGCTGATGGGAGGTTTATGTTTTATTGTTGCACATACATGTTGGAGTTTAGCTGCTAACATTTTAACCCTGAGCAAGGTGGTTTGGATTGAATGAAGCTATGGAGAACAATGAGTTTGCAGTTCACCCTTAAGCAGCATCATGCCATACACATGGTAGAGCATACATTTATGGCAAACTAAAACAAAGAAACCCCTAATTCTCAAAACATGGGAAAGGGTTTAATTGTCAGAGATAGTTCAGCACATTTTAATTTAGTGTATAAGGTCACCAAACATTTTTAGCTGAAATGTAAATCTGAGATCCTTTTTGCTCACAAAAGTTTACTTAAATAGTGATGAGGGCCACAAGACACAAACAAAATGAACATTAAACACTACCAATTCACACTCTTTTTTTGTTTTAAATAAGGACATATAATTATGCTTATTTTTCACATTTACTGTGCAGTCACATGGCAAGCATGATATGAACTAATGATGTAATGCCAGGATAGTTAAATCAACAAAAATGATTTATGCCATCACAAAAACTATCATAATCAACTTTGTAACAAAGGTTTGAATAATCTTATTTGCTTAGTTGCTTATTTGTTCTACTGAATGATTGGGGGGAAATCCCTATATGATAGTAACACAATGAAACCACTGGTTGATGCCGTATTGTTGATTTTTACTCATGAAAATTGCAGATTTGTACACTGTTTGCTGTTTGTTCACACTGCTTATTTAAAATGAGCTGGAAAAAAGACAACTCTTGAGGTTTTTAGGGTGGACAACTTAATTGTTGTATGTTCAATCCACTTAAAATTGCTAAAACTAATAAGTTATCCTAATTCCTTCATGTAGCCACAACACAAATAGTCAGTGTGGAACCCAGCAACCTTTACAATGTACACTGTAAAACACAATCACTTCATCTTGTGCCAACACAAATCAATTTAGTTAACAATTGTTTTAACAAATTTAAGTGGATTGAACATAAAACATTTCATTTGTCCTCAAAACAGCTCCAGAATTGTGTTGTTTCAGCTCATTTCAAATAAGCAGTTTAAATAAGCAGCAAAGATATTTTTTTGAGTGTCAAACTTTTTGTCAACAGTGAAACAAAGCGGTATTTAACAGTTCTGGGAAAACAACAAGGACACAAACAAATGATTTAAGCAGATTTTCCATCATCCCCTTATATATTGTAAATGACTGCATTAATAAAACAAATATAAATCGCTAAATTATGTATTAAAAGTGACAAAAAATCCTCTGGTATCATGAAGGTGGTATGTTTAAAGCACAAACAAGCCTTTAACATATGGTCAGCCCCAACAAAAATCATAGACAAGCCATCTGGCATGCAGCGTGAGTGAGGACAGAAATCCAAACATTTGCCTTTCAATTGGACCCCTTTTTTTCCCTTTCATTTTATTATTTTCAAGAATAGGCTATATATTTCTTTGGGGATTTTAAAACCTAATGTAATAATCAACATATATACAAAATCACACTGGAAATGCCCTGGTATAGACAGTAAGAAAATAATGTTGTTCATGTCCAATGCAATCTCACATAACTTTTAGATTTAGTAACTAATTTGAATTAATTTGTGCAATCACTTTAGTCCATTATGATAAATTTTGGGGAGAGTTGAAGAAAGAAGCTAAATTCAAGCAAAAGCGTACGTTTCCTAACCTAGAAACTTACTGTTCAAATAAACGAATGTTAATTTGTATGGATGTCGCACTACAAATCTAGAAGTAAATAATAAAAAAAATACATTAAAATGAGGTAAAAGCAATAGAAATTAATTAAGATGAAGTTCATTTTTTTGTTCTGACAACATAAATCGTTTTTGTTGACTTAAAGGGATAGTTCACAAAAACTGAAAATGAATGTACTCATTCTTTACTTGTACCACCAATGCATATACTTTCTTTCTTCTGTTAAACACAAAAGAATATGTTTTGTTTTACACACTATCAGAAAATGGTATGTTGTACCAAAGAAGGTACAAACTCTTGTCACTGTGGCAGTCCCTTTTTATGGTACAGAATTATAACTTAAGACAAAGAAACTAATTTGTATAATTGCAGTTTGTTCTTTTAACGACATGATTTGTACCATGGGAAACCAAATGTATACCTCTGGTTTATAAAACCTGCACCTTAATCAAAGATACAAATCTGATCCATGAAGGTACCACGACAGAGACAAGACACTTAGTACCTTAACAGTGTCAAATGTGTTCCTTCAAGAACTGTTTAAAGGTATTTTGCTTTATCCAAAATGTGTCAATTTATTTTCAGTAAATATAAAACATCAAATACATTTATTAAACAATGTTTTTTTTTTTAAAGTTTCTTCTTGTGTAAATGTACATTTTCCATTTACAATAAAGAATACAAAATACTTTAACATAAATTAAAAGATGAACATTTAGCAACAAACAAAAATGTTACAGAAACACATTCTCCCATGTACAATATAATAATTTTTTCCCAGATTTACACACAATATCGTTGTAATCACTTCATTTAATTAGTTCATTTAATTAACTTAATTTTAAAATAGAAATGGAATTATGCAAAAGTATTGTAACGAGATATGCACAATGTTTGGTTAGTTATACAATATTATGTAATACTATAATTTCTGCATGAATACTTTATATATACTATCATAAGAGGTACAACTTTCACAAAGATACAAAACTGTCCTTTAAGGAACATTATTTGTACCACATGTACCTTTTTTTCTGAGCAGTGCCTTTGGACACCATATACTTTTTGAAGGTAGAAAAGATCAGACATTTTCACTTTGCCAGTTATGGATCTTTTTGTGATAAAAGAAAAACCCCTTATTACTCATTTCTTCATTCAACACTTCATTCCTTTCTACGTTTGTCCACTGATTAGTTCGATCTAATTCATTGACATTACCTCCTCCAACCTTCCCCGCTTTCTTTTTTCTCCTTATTTATTTATTTATTTATTTATTTATTTATTTATTTATTTATTTATTCATTCATTCATTCATTCATTCATTCATTCATTCATTCATTCATTCATTTATTTATTTATTTATTTATTTATTATTGTTATTTTATTAACTCCTTTACATTTACTATTGTTGCTGTTATTACTGTTATTAAGTTATGCTATTTAGCCCTATTTTATTATTTATAAATGTTTTATTATCTTGTTAGGAAAGTTTAAAAGGGAAAACTGGAAAGTCTGTCTTTCACTATGTCTTTTATATCAAGCATTTATGATCTTTTCACTTAATTAAAAAAACACACACAATGAAGATATTTTGAAGAAAGGTGAAAACCTGTAACCAATTGACTTCCATTGTTTGTTTTTTTTCCTATCATGGAAGTCAATGGTTGAATGTTTTCAATTTTTTTTATAAGATATTCTTTTGTGTTCAACAGAAGAAAGAAACTCTTAAAATTTTGGAACCAAAGGAGAGTAAATAATGAATAAATATTATTTTTTTGTGTGAAAAATCTTTTTAACTAACCTGCCAATAAATATTTAGTACCAAGCATGCCTGGTACGTCACTGAATTAGGAGA